GTGTCTAATATTTTTTTTTTTTTTTTTTTTTTTTGTTCCTTGAGAGTAGTCACAAAGTTCGAATTTTTTGAGGGAAAGTATGTGCTGAGGTACAGTCAGCGCACAGATCAGCCATAGAGCAAATGTGTGTGCAGGGTTGAATCTTTTTTTTTTTTTTTGATCGTAGCTTGTAAAAAGGAATATTAACAACTATTAGCACGGGTATTAATGTGTTTAAGATTTGAAACTAAAACATAAAGAATGTAATTAGTCGAAGTGTTTTTTTTTTTTTTACTATGCAATTTTAAGTGAAGGTTTTTTAGTGCACATGAAAACCTAAAGAATTTTGTTAGGTTTTTGAAAGGATTTCATTAGTTCTGGCAGCTGCAACGCAACTAACTACAAAACCAACAAACTGCAATATTAAATAGTCTGTTTTTTCTTTTGAAACAACAAAAATATCACCAAGTACCATAATCTGCCGTTTACACAAACTTTAAAAGCTAATTTTAAATTTTTTTTAAGTTTAACAAAAGCACATAACAAATAGCTAAATGTATTGTACAAATTAAAAAAAAAAAAAACAAAACGGTAACAAATATAGAAAAACAACTAACTAAAGGAGTTTAACTCTGAGCTGAGACAGAAAACAAGGCGAGTTGGCAGCACCAATGCGGAAGAAGCAGAGCTTGTCCCAGCAAGAGAGTAAATCGTTGTTGAACACTGCAAAACACACAACATTGTTGAACACTACAATAAATAGAATGAGCAGAAAGCTAAACAGTAACAATAACCAACAAACAATAAATAATGCAATTTCTTTGTTTTAGTTCTTAGCAATTATTATATAATTATTGCAATTATAAAATAATAGAAAAACACACACACTCACACACATTAACACACACGCACAGTGACACACTGATAGACACGAAGAGGGAAACGAAAATCAAAAGAAATCCACAGAGGCATGAGACAAAAAATGTAAACTAACTAAACTACTTACAATGTGTACTGTACATATATATGTACATATGTAACTGATTATGTTTTTACCGTATGTGCTAGCTTAAAGCAAACAGACAACAAAAACAATACAAATGAGAAACTTATTATTATTTATACAAATCAAAAAACAAAAACGAAAACTTAAAACAGCAAAGCAAACTGAATGAGGCAAAACCAATATATATATTTTGGGCGGGAGTTTTGGGGAACTTGGGGGATTGGAGGGAACGTGGAGTGGGTCCTTTAGGAAGGGGGTGGGTAGGTGAGGGGGGTGAGGGGGGTTGAGGCAAGAGCTAGAGTTACAAATAATATTTACTTATGTGCAACCACCGTCAATAGTTTAATTATTACATACAACAACAAATATACAAACAAATAGAAGAAAACACAATAACTAATTACAATAGAAATAACAATAACAATTACAATTACAATTACAAAACATAGGCATACGTTTTTTTACAAAACTACAACTACAACAACACAAACTAACTGTGATTCCAGCAACAAGAAAATAACAAGTAACAATTACTTACAATTTAAACTATAAACAAAAACAATAGCAAAGCTAATTACATTTAACTATCACAAAACAAAACAAAATACAACTTAAAATAAACAAATCAACCAACAATAGGCAAATTTAGCGGCATTTGAGCGCAGCTTTTCACCACAAGCACACACACACACACACGCTCACACACCGCAGTGCGTCTGTATTAGTGAGCTTTTGACATTTCGTTGCGGCTTATAGCAGCCAGCATCGCGTCATGCGTGTATGTGTCTCTTGTGTGTGTCTCTCAAGTCTGCGCTCAAATGCCGCAAGTAACGAAATGTGCAATTAACATAATTACAATATATATTTAAAGACTACTGTTTTTATACGCCCAGAAGCCACTTAGTTTATTATTGCTCATTTCGCAAAAGTTGCAACAAGTTACCACCAAATAAAATGCACACACACACACACACACACACTCATTAATCACATGCCACAAGAGACAGGAAGTGAAAACTAGAAACAGAAACCGAAACGGAAACAGAAACAGAAACAAAAACAAAAACAAAAACAAAACACATACAAAATATGAACTAACAAACTTTGAACCAAGAACATCGAATTAAATTGTAAATGTAGTTTCAACATCAAGAGGCAAAACATCTATGAGAAGTAATATACATAGTATATACATACATATATGAAATACCGTTTCCATATATACACACATATATATATATATATATATATATACATATATATAAATATATATTTTTAAATGAATGTCGTAAGCCTGAAGCGAATACTTAAAAACAACATATTTGCCGTACCAAAAAAAAACAAAAACAAAAAATAATAATAATAATATTTAATAATAATAAACCTTAAACAAAATGAAATAATAGTTAAAAACAATTCAAACTATCGTCAAGCAGAAAAGAGAACTAACTAACACACACACACACACACACATGTAAAGTGGTAGTAGAAAAGTTAAATGAAGAAAAACTTTCACTGTGCCAAAAAGTTTAAAGTACCTCATAATTTAAATAAATATTAATAATGAAACAAAGAAAATATAGACCACAACACACAAAAAAAACACACAGAAACTTGCCCACAGTCGTTAAATTGAATGTGCTCCTTGCTTAAAACATTAACTAAATCAACTCATCAAATCAAACTACAATTAATTCAAATGCAATTCAGAAGCAGGCTTACAGTCAGTTAAACATAATTAAGCATTGCCACGGGCAAATATCTGTACACAAGCGTTGTCAATAGAATAAAAGCTAAAAGCTCAAAGCTCAAAGCTCCTGTTAAACTAACTAACCAGCTACTTATAATTTGCCAGCCAGTTGATCCTTGTTGTTGTCAACAAGCTATAGACCAGAATGTATATTGTCAAGTGTTGAGATTCTTTAACCAGCATCTAAATCAAATTTCTCTCAAAGTCGTAAACAAAGTATTTTAGTTACTCTCTCTCTCTCTCTCTCTCTATCTCTCTCTCACACACACACATCTTTATCTCTCTCTCTCTCCCTCTCTCTCTCTGAATATGCAAATAGTGTTCAATTGTAGTAAAATTTTGTGATAGTTTAACAACTTTATTTGCACAATTTTGTACGTTTTTTTTTTGTATTATTTTGTTTTATTTTTTGGTACATTTAACTAAAGTATCAATTTTGAATTGCTGATTTAATAATAGTTTAAATAATATCTTGTGTAACAGCAGAAAAGACAAATCCTGCATATTTTTTTGTTTGGAAATTTGTTCAATATATCTAACAAAATCGACAGAAATATACATATACATATATAGATTTATATATTCAACGATCAGGGCCACTAGCAAATGTTTTAGTTTTAATTATATTATTTATAAACTGAATATGTTTTATGATATACATATATATATTTTTTTTAATATTTTCTACAAATTGTTCAGCTTATTTCGGATTTAGTTTTTATATAGTACTTATGTATTTCGAGAAGCAAATGCTACTGCAACAACAACAACAACAACAACAACAACAACAAACACTGCCTTTTATTGAAAGCACAAAAACACACAGAAAACAACTTTTGAAGCTATCTGTATAATTTTAACACATTTAGTTTTACAATTTCTTATACTTTTCTCTCTAATTTTTTGTGCATTTTCAAACATCACAAGTGCAAACAAAACTGAAAAAAAAAAAACACCAAAACCACTTTAATGTTCATTTTTTTTTTTATATTTGTTGCTCAAGCTTCATTTTCTTATTTAAATATGCGAAAAAAAAAAAAAACAATTATAAATATGTAATTATTTCAATTGACATAAATAACATGCTGTGAGCTATGTATGTGAAACTTTGATTTTTTGTAACACTTATTATATTAAATTCTTATTATTTGATAGTATTTATTAATAAAGTTTTTTGCATTACACATAAATTCCCATATATCTATATATATCTATATATATGCATTATGATTTGTTTTTATTTATCTGCACAGAATGGAATCTTTTGACGCTTTGACCCTTTTCTTTATATTCGTAATGAAACGCCTTAGCAAAATGAATATATTAAGTAAAAATATAAATTAAAAAACAAAAACATTCCATTTGGCTAAAGGCATTCAAGAGAAGAAGACAGAAAACAAAAACTAGCTAAGCAATAAAGCAATATAAATCAAAAACAAAGAAATTCATGTAGGCATAAAATGTAAGTAATTTTTCCCATTGCAAAAAAAAAACAAAACAAAAAACTTTTGGTGTGTGCTAAGCTAAAGGAATTCAATTAACACATAAATGTTAAAAGCTAAACTAATATAAATGGATGAAAATTAATATTTTATGATTAGAAGAAGACTTTTTTTTTTTTTTTCCAAAGTGCGTAGGAAACGACGGAAGAGAATATTCATTTTGTAAGACATGCATAAATTAAAACCAACAAATTGGAGGGATTCAAGACTCTTATTTCATATATATATATATACATATATATATTACAAATTTACCATATATATATTTACATAATATATGTATGTAAGTTACAAGAATTTTTTTTTTAGCATAACGCAAGACAAGGCATAGACAAAATGCAGGAAATACGTGTAACAAGAATATTACAAAATCCAACAACGAAACTTTTGGCATTAAATCGATGCATTTTTAAACAATATTTATTTATATAAACATAGAGATTAAACACACACACACACACACACACACATGCAAACATACAAAAAGTTATAAAAAAAAAAAAGATAAAGATAAAGATAAAGAGAAAGCAAAATTATTATACATAGAATATATATATACATATATATATACATATATATATATACTATATCTATATACAGATACATGAATGTATGTACATGTGGTTTTCGGTGTCTATTACATATATAAATAGATATATATACAAATACAAATACAAGATGCAATATATGCATATACAAACATACACACACACACACACATATATATATATATATATACATATATACATATACATATGTACAT